CCAGCTATGGTTGTGCCATCAGTTAACCCTTCGCGTGGCAGCTGTGCCACGCGTGCCCAGGGTTGCCGACCCCTGATCTAGTTCATCCCTGGAGTTAGACGCCTTTTTATTCATTGGTCAGAGTTAAATGTCAAATATATTTTAAAAACATTATTTTAAACACGTCAGGTGCAAAGATCTGAGTGTGCGAAGGAGACCCTCAGAAATATTCCCATAAGTCACTGCTGTAAAGGGTGGCTCAAGACTTTTGCCCATTACTTTATTATGTAAAAGTATGAATAAATGAAATTATGACATAACGAGTTTAGATTGTAGCTGAAATTCTCGTTTCACCTCAGCTTCACCTCGGCTTTACGAGCAAACTGAGCTCGGTGTTACAGTCGAAGCGGTGAACAGACCTTTGTGGGCTGTGAGCGCGCTTCATCTGCTCACGTGGCCTTTGCGTGTTTCCTAGCAGTGGAAACGTAGCTGAATCACATTAAAAGAAGTGCGGTGTGACAGAGAGCTGGGCACGGCGCCGTGTTTTGGAAAGAAACTGTTGGTGAGCACTCAAACCCTCCAAATTTCATGTTTGGTTTGTTGGTCACACAGCAGGGGAAAGCCCCCTCTGCATCTTGGTTAACTAAAGGCAGTTAATAATGGAACACGAAACTGCATCTATTTCATGAAAAGCGTCTGCTGATCCCCCCGTTCGCATGAGACACTACAAATATTAAAAAGGTTAACTGTAAGGACGCCCACAGCTGCTCCATCCCAGCACGCTGTCTGCATGAAGAAAATACTCAGATGAATTCAAGGTTTCACAAACTAAAGGTGACGACGAGTCACACGGCACTCACCGACACATTAACAGGAGCTCATCTTTAAAATAAGCCCGGGGTTCATTCATGCTCATAAACCACACGACCTTTAGATCCCAGCAAACAGGCGGTTACGAACGTTTTTACAGATAAATAATCACGTGAGAAGACGAGATAACGACTCACAGCAGGTAACAAAGAAGACTTCCTGATGGGGAAGTGTTTCCCTGTGCAGGACAGCCTCTGCTCTGAGACTCACATCACCAAGTCTCCATAGCAACTTCAGCCAAGACGCCAACACAGACATATATCAGCAAACACCGCAGAACGACAACACCAAGAATAAACCCAGATGAACATTTCTACACTGGGTTCTGCTGCTTTGGGTTGTGAT